TCTCAAAAACTATGAACTCTTTGAACAACAAGAATGTCAAGCCCTCTTTGATGCCACCCTCCTTAGCTGTCAACATGCTCTTGAACTCAAAAAGATTTTCATCAACAGAAATGACCATATCTCTATGTACCTCCTTTCCATGTTCCGTGATACCCATTCCATAGAAGAAGACATCATCCCCAATGTTGCCAGTGTTGACACTGCTACTCGCCTTCGCTACCTCAATTGAAAGATTAGCAACACCATTCAGATTCTCTTCCCTAAGACTTTCAGAGATGATGTAGCAGTCGCAATCCACACCGTTGCTGAACGCCTTGCCACCACTACAAACACGCCACCTTCCCCTCATATCCTCCCAGTCTTACCACCTACCACTCCATCCCCTATAGAAGAACCATCCCCTCGTAAAGCTGCCAAAATGAGCACTGGATGAAAACACCCTACCAAACAAACAACCATCACGACCATTGGTCTTACTTGTCCTACCCCCCGATAATATAAAGATCATTGCTCACGGCCAGAAATCTGTACTCCTCCAACAACAAACCCTGCAGTTCTCCCAATGACCCCACCATTGCCGGCTCCCGTTCCTAAGGAAGAGACCCCTAGTCCTCCCTTTGACAACATTGTTTGTCGCATATGCAAGGAACTCGGGCACCGTCACAAAAACTGCCCATCTTACAGGTGTAGGGTCTGCAGGACACTCTCTCCAGGACACCTTTCCCCATACTGTCCTTCTCTACAAGGAGAAACCATCAGCACATTCAGAGGGATGAGCAGCAGCACTGAAGGGTTCTACACCCATCTAGCCGAGTGGGAAGCACAAGAGGACGCGGCACAAGAAGAGGACTTACTCTCCTACAACGACGTCGATGTAGACCCCGTCTACCTCAATGATGCAAGGCTTGACTAGGTTGCAGTCGGTGACTTCAATGATATGAAGGGGGTAATGTTACAATGGTGCTATATTTTCTTTTCTCTTTCTTTCTTTACTTACTCATCGAGTCTCATGACTGCTTATCAACACGTCCAACACGTGAATGCTTACCTATATGCTTACTCATTATGCTTACACAGATGATTACTCATACTGTTCCCTGATTGGTTGATATTGTCTTCCTATTCTCGCTTACTGTTAGGTACCATGCCAACTCAGGAAGCAGAGGGGTTGGGGCTTGGCTTCAGCTCTTGCGCTGTGCCCTTAGCCAAGTATGTGCCCCGAATTTGGAGTGGGTCTGACGTTATCCGACGGTAGGACGATTGGACCGCTTTGGTCTGCTCTGAGGGTCGGGGAGTAAGAGCTACTAGTGGTGGGCCAACTAGGAGTGGAGCGGAGAAGGCGGGGAGTGATGCGGAGAGGGGATAGGAGCAGGGGAATGTTGGTAGGGGTGGGAAAGGCGGAGGATAATGCAGAGGGGCGAAGGAGGATATTTGATAGGGGCAGAGTAATAAGGGGAAGACTTAGAGCATGGCTCTAAGTCGGAGCGGAGGGTCAGAAGGTCAGAGGGTCGGAGGTGACAACAAGTTGAGACTTGTGTCCAGAGGAGGCAAGGTCCTACTGAGAATTCTCACAAGATATAACTGCGAGAAGACAAGTAATATTAAGACTGAGGAAAAATATCTAAGTACATGATATGTTATATACTACTATGTATGAGGCAGTGATTAGGATAACTATGTAGTAAAGCTATGTACCAAGGATATAGTTTGTAAGTATTTTACATAGGCGAAGACATAAGTCGGGGCGGATATCAATATGTACGTGTTGGATCAGTGATTGAGTGGTAATAGGAATTACTGGTCATCCAGAAGTAAGGGTCTATGTACCAATGGGGAAGGTATATATCTAAAAGGGGAAAGAGATCCAGTTGAATGGAGAGGTTATGGAAGGGGACCGGTTGAGCGGTTGAGCGGAAGTGTAGGGCAGAATGCGGACTTGTGATTGGACAGAGCAGAGGATGGATGGGGCGGAAGGGTCGGAAAGTGGAGCGGATATCAGTATCGGAGTGGTTGGATCAGGTATATGACACTTACCTTTCTTGATAGGGTCATCTACCTACAGACCGGCCCTAAACTACCTTCTTGTTACATATATATATCACGTTTCCTGTACTTGTATTCCTTAACTTGAATCTACTAGGTTCTCTCCTGATACTTTGAGTTCACTGATCTAGCTGCCTTTCAGCAGACTAGCCTGAATACTTGATCTAGCGAGCCCTTGACACTCGACTAGCCAGAACCCTTGATCTTAGAACTCACGATATGCTTCAGCCTTGATCATCCTTTATTGGAACACTGAAAAAGAACTATCCTAGTTGTAACACCAGACAGACTCAAAAACAGGAAAACGTGCCTTTAAATACCCTTGCCATGGTGTCTGATCAACAGACTGCTTTGAGTTTTGTTGATTTTGAAGTTAGAGTTTCCATCTGACCAAGCAATATCAATGCAACAGCATAAAAAGAGTGAGAAAATGATAGAAAATGATATACTTTTAACACCTACAGCAGATACTACCAATCTCACCAAAATACCCAAATAGTAAGTGACTGGCTTGTCTGAGACTTGTCATGCATTAACTAATGTGGAAGTTCGGTCTTCTTGCCACTCAGTGAACCAAAATAAAGTGAACTTGAAGTCAGCCCACAGTGGGTTGCTCCAAGAACTGCCATGACCCACGCTAACCATCCAGTAGGCTTGTATCTCCTCCAAGTCAACCCTTCCATGTGGTTGTGGCTCCAGGATGGGCTAGGGAAGGTCCATGTCCTCCCAGTCCTCCCGAGTTCCATTATCCATTGCAACCATTTTGTCAGACACCAGGACCCATCACAACTTCTCAAACTTACCTGCGAACCCTTGTCCTAGAACATTGGGATGCAGAGATTAGGCATTGTGATGAGGCATGCAAAGCACAGCTCTCTGACTGCATCCAAGGGCCTGTGACTCACCAATCATATGTCCGAGAGTTGATAGTTAGGCTCTGGAACATGGAGAAGCAGTGGTGCCAAGAAGCATGCAAAGTTCAACTATTGGAACTCCTACTTGCAGCTCATGGTATTACTACCCTAGTTTAGTCAGTTAGTTATGTCAGTGGTCAGTTGGGATGGAAGGAGGCGCACAGGTATGAGATAAATGGTAACCAAGGCCAAAAGGCCGAAAAAAACAAGCAAAACAAGCAAAAGAAAAGCCATGTGAGGTGGCAAAGTGTAAACTCTACATTTGCAAAGGAAAGATAAAAGAAAAATGAGCAAAAGAAAGGCCATGTGAGGTGGTGAGGCACGAGGGTATGAAATGAATGGTAACCAAGGCAAACAAAATGAGAAAACCGAGCAAAAGAAAAGCCTTGCGAGGTGTGAACAATGAGCAAACTGAGTAAAAGAAAAGCCATGTGAGACATGAACTAGCCATGTGAGGCGGCGACACGTGAACTGCGAGGTGTGAGGGTATGAGATAAATGGTAACCAAGGCAAAAAAAAAACAAGCAAACTGAGCAAAAGAAAAGCCTTGCTAGGCGCGAACTAGCCATGCAAGGCATGGCTAGGTGTGAGGATATGAGATGAACGGTAGAATACAAGCCGAAGAAAAGCCAAACCGAGCAAAAGACAAGTGAACCCGAGTAAAAGAAAAGCCATGTGAAGTATGAACTTGGGGCAAAATTGACAAGACAAGAGTTGCAAAGGGAGAAACAGCAAGATGAGAGAAATTGTCAGCAACAAGAATCATCATGCAAAATGGAGGGTTAGAGTTGATGAGAGGTATGGTCAAAAGAACGTGGTCAAAAGGAAGCATCATGAACTGCATCCGTGATCGAACACTACAAAAGAAAGGTGAGTAATGGGTCACAGGGCATGAAAGGTGGTGCACCGTTCTGAACTGCATCCGCAATTGCAATTCTGTTGGAAGTTTTGGTGTTGGTCACTACGTGCTGAAAAAAAGGGTATTAGGAAGTGAATGGTTGAAGTTAGTGACAACAAACCAGTGATGCCTCAATGTATGTTTTGTGGGAAGGTAACAACTATGGCCGAGGAACTCAAGAGACACATTGTGGGGTGTCCTGAATGCCAAAGGGAGTGGACATTAATGATTGAAGAGGCTGATGCAGAAAACTTGGACGCACCAGATGTCGACTTCTCCCATGAAGGCCATGTTCATCTCCAGATACGGACCACAACCCTACAATCAGCAAAATTCGTCAGGTCACTGTCGAAGAAGTTGATGACGAGGACATGACATCACTTGTCGCAAATTCCTAATTTGGATTTCAGGGCCTTGCAACATCTAAAGTGGGAGTGGACCTTTAAATGACTTGTATTAACAGAGGTTGTCCTTGAAATGCTCATGTAAATAACAGTTAAAATGGTTGCAATGCATTGCAACCGACCTTAGTCATCTTGGGATCGCTCGTTTGGGTTGCTGATGTAAATGGCTTGAAATGGCTTCACCTCGACATCACATAATCTTGCCTTAATAAGAATGCCATACTCCCAGGGACTTGCCATTCTAATTAGAATAGATTACGCCAAAGCTCTACACTGCCAGTAAATAGTGTAATAATGCTGAATATTTACTCTTCAAAAAAAACCACCAAAGTCCCACACCAGCAACATCCGCTAGCCAATGTTACCAAATACAAACCAGCGCAAACATACCAAATATGGTGTAGTAGGGTGCCTGAGTCACAGGGGCATTTCCCAGTTGAGTAGCACGCGGATTTGGCCAGATTGGAGCTTGAAGTAGCATAAGTAGAGCCGCTTAGAGTAGAGAATAATCAGGCAATTGGAAGCCGAGTTGTAGCACCAAGTCTCGAGGCGGACCCTCTCCACCTGGTGACTGGAGCGAGATTCACCACGGCCATTACCATTGACAACCTCTGTCACCTGTGAAATATTCAGAAAATTCAAAGTCCACCAGCACTCAGGCGCGTTGCCTCAGACACTAAGCTATCCCCACCTCCCTTAGTACCATGATTTTTCTGTGACATTGCCATCTCATTGCCCGAAATGCCGAAACCACAAGTATTGCAGGCCAATCTACGGTTCATACAGCACAGAGCTGCCTTAGCCAAGACATTTCCGCGTCACACGCAGCAGCAACAGGTTATGCCGGTTCCATCTGTACCTCCCATCATGGCAACCAGCGCTTCCGCAGTAGTCCCCCAACCAAGTTTTCACGGTGACTACAAAAAGGAGGAAGAACCTACCAATTGGATAAGAAAATATCAACTATCATTGCCGCCTTCATACTCAGATGCAGATAAGATTGCCCGGTTTGAACTGCAGTGCGCAGCAACGAGCCCAGCAGAAGAATGGTTCACAAGCTTACAAGCAATGGACAAGGCAACCTGGGTAACATTTTTAGCAGCATTCAAGATACAGTGGCCTCCACCAGTCCATGCGAAGCTCATGGTCACCCAGAAGAAGGAATGTCTCAAGTCTGTTGTACTGAAGGAGGAGGACATTGGAGTCATGATTGAGAAGGACAGAGGGTGGGACTGGGGCCACGTAAAGTGGGCCAAGCAGGTCGCGCAAATGGCACAAGGGTTCGGTGATGTACACTGCCACTTCCTAGATGTAGTTCTGGAAAACACACCCAAAGTTTTGCGGGACTTCCTTGCAGATCACTATACTACATGGGCAGAATTTGAGGCCAACATGGCAAAAACCTCTGCATCCCAGCTCGTGAGGGCAAAGCAACGCATCGCAAACAATCGAAAACTCTGAGAAGATGTTGACAAACTACAGAACCAGACATCGAGCACCCGCAAAACACCAGATCCATCATCATCCCAAGCCATGCAACCTTCATTCTCCCTCCCAGCTGCCTATCGCTATGGACCTCGTTATATTCCTAACCCAACCATCCCACCACAGCCGGCACCTCCATACCAGACAATACCACCAGCCCCAACGCACGCACAACCACTCCCAGCAGCACCAGCCCCCCAAACCCCCCAGAACCCGTTTAGCAGGACAGCGCCAGTACCCAGAACGAACCTTTTCTACGGTTTTCGGGGAGGATACCCGCAAACACCATCGCGTGGAAGGGGGGCCTCAGGAGCAGATCGTGCATGAGCAGCAGCACAATATGTGGTCTTGACACAGTACCTGGACTCTGATGCAGGAAGACAAGCCTATGCCCAGCAGATCCAAGAATGAAACATGCAGAACGGAGCAGATGCCACTCCAAACACTGCAAAACCTTATTCGCTCAAACCTGGAACAGCGCCCTTAGGCTCACGGGAATGCTTTAACTGCGGACTGGCAACAGTACCCAGCCACCAAGCGCACAAATGTCAGAACCCACCAGTTCCCCAGCAGGAAACACACTGGAGGGAAATGGTATCATGACTCGTAACACAATCGCTCGCACCACCCCAAACACCATCAACACCATCAAACATTCAGTACATAGCACCCGCAACACCACAGATGGGCCAAACACCAATGCAGCAATACTACCCTCAGTACTTTGCGCCCCAACCATGGCAGTACGACCAATATGACTCATCAGGAAACGTGTATGGGCCGCAACAGTAGGGGAGCTTCCCGCGGCCCATATTCAGGAAATCCAAGCAACAGATATTGAAGTCCCAGCTAGTCACAGCACAGCCCAAACATCCTGCGAAGGTTCCACATCTCCCAAACTGTCTAGTTATTCACCCAGGCTGCCGCCAACGCTACCGACGTCTCCATGGTTATCAAGCCTGGGATCATCCCTGGTCAACACACCAGCCCTGCCTCTGCCAACAGAATTAAGCACAGAGGACCAGATGTCAGACAGCGAGTTTGTTGTCCCCACCTTGGAAATTGAGATTGTCTCGCCACTGGCTGCTTCCATTGTTTCTAGTTCCAATTTGCCCGCTGTACATGACTCATTAGAATTTGTTCCCACTTCTCGTTTTACCTCTTCTGCTTCCTCATTACCATCTGCTGTCAAACTGGAGTCTGCGTCGAACCTTGACGAACCAGTGCCTCCCACCATGATACTCGATTCTTCAGATACCGACACAAGTTCAGACTTTGTTACGGACTTTTCGCTAAGTGATACATTCATAGTAGAAACGACAGACACTGCTGACTGTTATTCAGGCGTGACCAAACCAGAAATTGTTGATCTGTACAGTATTTCTGACGACTTAGAAGAGGTCACAGAAAGTGTACCATTCACTACCCCAGCTATCCTATACGGGCCCGGTGGAAAAATGTCATGTTTCCAGGCGAATGTGGATGATGGAGCCATGGTAAACGTCATCGACCTGAAGGTGTTCCATAAGGTGGAGCGCAACTTAAAGAGGCTCATATGGTCGAACCGAAGCCTCTGAATGGCAGACGGATCGATAGTACCATCACACAGACTCTGGTGGGGGACCTTCCAATGGAACAAGATCAAGATTCGCATGTCCTTCAAAGTGTTCGACAGCGGAGGAGCATGGTCAATGCTAATTGGCAAGCCCTTACTGGAACAACTAGGAGCCATGCATGACTACACTCAAGATGCCATAATAATACCGTACCAACCCTCACCTATCATAATGTACAACATCTACGGAACAACAGCAGCGCCAATACCGAAAACCCGAACACCACCAGAACCAGCTGTACATGACAACGGTGGAGATGACCTTCCATTTGCACCAATATTTCTAATTGTTACTATACCCCCAGATAAAATTGCTGATTCCAGTTCACAGGAAAAACATGGACAGTCAATACCAAACACTGAACATTACGTATTTGAAGTCGACGTGCAAGTCACAAAGGACCAACTGGAGCTGTGCACAGAAGGCCTGGCAAGAGCAGGAGCACACGTAGTACAGGCAGACCAACGGCCAATAGTTTCACCGGTAACAGAACAAGCACCGTTATCACCATGCTCACCTGTCTCCTTCACAGCAACCAAAACCAAGGTCGGAAATGCAAATACACCCATATGGCCAGTTTTGAACCGACTTGAGCATGAAATATTGGGCGAAGTACCTGAATTCCCGACAGCCTCAATCATGCCCAGCGTTTATTCTCGACATACCAACCCATTCAATCCAGTGCGAGTAGCGGAAATAATGAGAGTGATAAAAATTGGCGAGGATCTCTCAGATGACCAAAGATCACAGGTGCATACTCTCTGCAAAGAATTTGCTGACACATTTGCCCTTAGCGTCAGCGAAGTATACCCGGTGGACTTCAAGACATTCAAGCTGCACTTTCCTGAGGGAGCCACGTTCAGGACAAAGGTTAATCAATGACTGTTGATGCCACTGCAGCGGGAATTCCTCTATGAAAGACTCAATGAGCTCGAGAAGGCGGGTATCATCCGTCAAATTGAGCCAGAAGAAGTCAAGGCTGCAAGCCCTACAGTACTAGCACAGAAGGCACACGGGGCGGATGGACTGCCATTAGAGGAACTACTGCACCGCGTCAACAACCAATGCAGCAAGCATGGGCTACCTACCAGAAACGACCTCCCAGCACGTCTGCTGAACAGCAACAGTGAAAAAGACCGAAAGAACTCCATGCCGAAATGGCACATATGTCAAAACTTCACAGAAGTCAACCACGCTAGTCAAGTCCCCCCAGTACCGCAAGGAGACATCAGAAATAAGCAGCAGCGTCTAAGTGGCCACAGGTGGATAAGTATCATTGATTTCACAGCCGGTTTCTATGCAATTCAAGTAGACCCAGAATCTCAACCTTACTTAGCGTTTTACACAGAAGGACGAGGGTATGACTGCTATTGTCGAATGCCGTTTGACCTGACAGGTGCACCCACAAACTTCAGAGACATGGCCGCCATCGCCCTAAAAGACTTAATCGGTTTGCTCTTTGAACTATACGTTGACGATACAGGAATGGCAGGTAATATATTTGAAGAAAAACTAGCTTGCCTACGCACGTTCTTCGAACAAGTATGAGACATGTGCTTGTCCCTATCGCCTTCAAAAACACAATTGTTCATGACCAAAGTCATATTCACAGGAGCTCATGTAGGACGTGAAGGCATCAAACCGGATCTATCCAAGATTTCAGCAGTTGTTGACTGGGCAGTACCCAATTCTGCTCACGATCTAATGCAGTTCTTAGGGCTCACAGGATATTTCAGATCATTGGTGAAAGACTATGCATGGAGAGCTGCACCCTTGACGGACCTAATCTGAAAGTTGGGTACTCCCCCAGGAGGACAACATGTCGGGAAGCACAAGTATAGACAGCACCTTCATCACGTGCAGTTATGACCACATTGGGGGCCGCGACACACAGAAGCGTTCATGGACCTGAAGCAAGCCCTGGTATCTGAACCCGTCCTCAAAGGACCAAGATTCAATGGGTCACCATTCATCATCACAACGGATGGCTCCCAAGATGGGTTTGGAGCGGTACTCGCCCAGAAACACACGTCCACACTACCGTCAGGCAAAGTTGTTACCACCGTGCATCCCATAGCCTTTGCATCAAAATGCACCTCACCTACTGAAGAGAAGTACAAGCCATTCATCCTAGAGTTCGCAGCGCTAAAATACGCCTTAGATCAGTTTTCAGATGTAATATGGGGAGCGCCAGTAGAAATCGAAACTGATTGTCAAGCCCTACGTAACACACTCCTTAACCCTAAGTTGAGTATGGCACACGCACACTGGAGGGATGGCATACTTGCATACCACATAGTGGACATAAGACATCGACCCGGAATCTCAAACACGGCAGTGGATGGCCTAAGTCATGGGTTCATGACAAGAGAACACGCTACAGGCGATGGCAGTGACTGGACAGTCAATGAAGACTGGGAGGAGTCACGAGGGATCATACAAGACCTCTTCACAGTTGAAACTGCAATGCAATCAGTATCGTCCCCAGTATCAGAACCCTTACGCCAACACTTTGCTAACAAACCATTGTTTCTAGAAGTTATTGATGCAATCCACAACCTAGACTCGGACAAGTCAGTCAGGGAGAAACGGTGCGCTCGCCATCGGGCCCAACACTTCTTCATTGCAGAAGATAAACTGTGGCAGGTCCCAAATGACTTGTCAACACGAGTACATGGGAAGTTAGAATGCATCACGCAAGAGGAGGCTATAGAGCTCGTGAGGGAAGAGCACTCAATGAAAGGGCACTGGGGAAGGGACTTGGTCAAACTTCAACTGGTTGACCAAATATACAGTCCACGTCTTGACCGGTCCATCACCAACGCCATAACAGAGTGTGGGCAGTGCAAGAGCTTCGGTGCTACAATCCGCCGACACCCATTCGAACTACTTGTCGCCAATTATCTCACCATGCCCAAAGCAAAAGGAGGATTTCACAACATCCTTCTGATCATCAACACCTATTCGCAGTACGTCTGGGGATTCAAGCTCAAAGTACACAGCACAGCAAAGACCACACTAATGGGACTTGAGAGCATTTGACACAACTTCCGAGCTCCAGAGACACTGATGACGGACGGTGGGAAACACTTCGACAACTCGGACATGGGCAACTGGTGCGAAACAAATGACATCAAGCATCATGTCACAGCAGCGTACGCACCATGGATCAACAGATTGGTAGAAGGAACCAACCAAATCCTGTTAACGTGGCTGAAATATATGTGCGCGCCGCACCTGGGAGAGGACGACTATGTAAACGTGGAACCGCAGTCCATTCCCAGAACATGGTCTGACCACTTCGACAAGGCAATTGAGGACCTCAATGGACGAGTGCTCCCCGCGTACCAATTCTCCCCAAGGGAACTCCTTCTCGGACTCGTCGTCGACACCCCACAAACGCCTTTACCCATCACTGCTAACGACCTCTCACCACCGGACATACATGTTCACTCCGCATACATGGCTCAACAATGGCTGGACGCTCTAGCCAATCATGTTGCAGACACCCTCAAGCGCAAGGCAGCATTTGACAAACGAGTCCTATCCTCCCATACAGGACACGTCGTGTTCAACCCAGGCCAACTAGTACAGGTCTATGCAAGCAAGGTTGACGGAAACTTCAAGTCATCAAGAAAAATCATACCTCGATGGTCAGCGCCAAGACGAGTAACGTCACGGCGCACAAACTCATACACGCTGGAAACGCTAGAAGGATTCCCAATGGCGGGCTGGTATCACGCCTGACAGTTAAGGTTATTCCTACCACACACGGGCACATTGCTGGAGGAGATGGAGAAGGAATGAAGAAAGAAAGAAAGAACAGGAAACGGAGGGGTGACGAGCCATATGAAGTTGTAGAAAGGGAAGAAGACATCAGAGGGAAGGAAGCAGAAACACCTTCGCAAGCACGGACCACATCTTCATTCTGACACCGCAACCCTGGGGTGTCGCATTTTTGTGGGGGGTATTTGTAGTAGGGTGCCTGAGTCACAGGGGCATTTCCCAGTTGAGTAGCACGTGGATTTGGCCGGATCGGAGCTTGAAGTAGCATAAGTAGAGCCGCTTAGAGTAGAGAATAATCAGGCAATTGGAAGCCGAGTTGTAGCACCAAGTCTCGAGGCGGACCCTCTCCAACGGTAAGGGTTTGCTGTTCATTGTCGGCAACGTCTGTGAACCTTCGTGCTCACTGTTCTCGACGTTGAGCACAAGTACATCACTCAATTTTCACCATATTTTCAGGACCTTTTTAATTCTAATGTCTTGTATGCTTCTGAATCTATTAGTGGTAGTATTGGAGTGTAGATATATGACAAAAGAGTGAAATATAATGTATGTACCCAAAGTCTCAGCATGTATGAGGTTTCACATAAGAGACCACCTAAGCATTCACTCCAGCTGTGGAGGGGGCAGATGCAGACACAGATTTGTCTTTCCTGGGGCCGTGCTTCTTGCCCTTATCAGAACGCTCTTTCCGTGCCTTCTTCTAGACCGGCATGGCCTCTCCCGAGACAGAGAACACACCATTGAGCTCCTCCCCAGGCCGCTTTCCACTCTGCATTGCTGAAAGTGGCTGAGACTGAATACCCGCTGTCAACGTAGTAGGTGCCTCCATCAAAGGGGGGGAAGGTGACTGCGCAGGAGGAGTAGACATATTGTCTTCATCAACATCCCTCGACATTTCAGCCATCTTATCATCACACCTTCCATTCTCCCAATCCTTGAACTCGACATCTGAAAGCTGCCGAAAGCAAGTAGTGTTAGTATTCCAGGCATGGTATAAGACACGAAGTTCATTGCATGAACTTATGTCACCAGGGCAGCAGAACTTCGATAGTGGCCACTTCTCGAGTACCACGCGGTACTTTGCTGTAATGTTGGTATCGAAGTTAGTGTAATACATGCGCTGTGCCTGTGCAGGTGCCGCTGCGGCCTCTACGATGATGACAAACAAACAAACCGAACATGAAAATGTGTCAGAAAAAGATCAAAATGACACACTCACAAAGCTTTTATAAAATCATTTCACTTAGCTTCTTCTTCAACTTGAGGACCTCATCCAGGTGAGTCTTCGCAAGGCCTGTTGTAGGTAGTTGAAGTCAGAAGATAGATTAGACATATACTGTGAATCCATACCTTGTACACCTGCAATACAATAGCCTTCGAAGCGAAATGCAAGTGTGCCAATCGAAGTCTTGAAGCAATAATCGAAGAACTCAGCTGCGTGAGCCGTGTGAAAAATGTGAGGCTGATTCCAATGTTCTGTGTCTCCTCATACACCAAGCAAGATGAATTCAACACCGGTACGACTATGTAAAGCTGTCAACTAGACATAACCATCAGTAATATAAATCTCGCTACACAAAATAAACCTTACCTCGCAATCTATCTTCTCGAGGGTCCCCTGAGTGTCATTGAATGCATGAATCATGGTGTTGTGAGTGGCTAATTCCTTCATTTCACGATGCTCAGTAAGGGTCTCGATGACGTCTTGAGTTTCGAGGGTGCATTGATCTTTGTCCATCTCCTGCCAACATGTGCGAATTTTGGACATGAGCTCACATGCCTTGTGATGTTTCTCGCCGGCTGGTAATGCTGTAGCGATACAGTGAGACGGCAGGAAAAAAAGATAAAAGTAGAAACATACCTGCGTTATGACGTTCGACTTCTTTTTTAATGAAAGTGTTCCATTTGTTGGCCTTGCATGTGCCCTTGTGTAGCTTCGAGCATTGCATGATTTCCTCGAAGTAATAGTCAACTGAGTGGCGACCAAACTTCTCATGCAGTAAAGTAGCTTGCTCCATCACAACATTCTGGGCTGCAGAAAGAGCCTCTGTGTATTCTCTACGATGCTGTTTTCATTTATATTTTAACAAAGCTTTCTCTGCCGAAGTTTTTTTGTAGCATTGAGCAGCATGGTGTCTCCATAAAGAATGAGTTTTTGTAGTGGAGATTTTTTGCATGCGTGATGCATAGCGAGAGAGTGCATTGTCAGGCTTCACACCAGCCATGGATGTTGTACAAGCAAAAAAAACAGAGCAAACATTGAAACATTATAAAGACACGTGACTTTGAGGGCGGAGCATGTAAAGTGACGACATGACCAGTGACAGAGGCAATGATACTGTTAGACATCAGGGGGACTGTCTTGAGCAGTGATAAGTCCCCAAAGGAAGAATGCTTCGGCCCTAGCCATCCCCTTGTCAGCAAGTTGGTCAACAAAGTCTTGGGCCGAAGAAGTCATATCATGAGCATAAGCAACATGGAGCAAAGCCTTCACAGTGTATCCATGAGCTTGAAGATACCAGTCAGCCATGGGACCAAATGACGGGAGTGGGGTGTCATCAAAGTGCGGCTGGAGTACAGCACCACTAACTCCATTGATCTCATGAATGTGCTGATATACTGGTGCCGAGTTGGTGCCGGATGTTGAGGGACCAGTGGGCATCCTCCAAGCACGTGCTGACGGGTTTTGTGTGGTGGAAATATCCACATGAGCACTGGTGGATGGTTGATCTATGTGCACTATGTGCACCCAAAGTGTGAGGGTTAGATGTACACAGCAAAGAGAAGCTTACCCGTAGCGTCAGATATGGAGCTAGACATGGAGCTCTTCGTTCGTGATGTTGATCCTAGACACTTCGTTAGCAAGAGAATATAAAGGATGAAGGTAATAGTACATACTGCTGGCAAGAGAGAGACCAGCCAAATTTAAGGTAGGAGCACACAGACTTGCGATATCGATAGCATCACCGAGACGGTGGGCCTTTGTGATAAGAAACTCTAATGCCGCAGGGAGACTTCCCAGCTTCTTAAAACAAGGACTGGAAAATCCAGCAACAGCTTGATGACATTCCTCCCTACAGGTGAAGATGTCAGACAGGATGATTGATGCACCAAAAACTATCACCCACCATTTCAAAAAGATGCCAGACTCGTGGCCTACAACTATGACATAAAACTTATTGGACATTCCTTTATAGAGTGAAGCAGCCCCAGGCAATTTGTAGAAGGTGCGGGCGGCATCAGTGGGAGATGTATCTTCTGAGATATTTCTCATGAGAGGCTGCAAAGTAGAATGGACCTTTGAGGCCTGTGCATGATTGTCACATTTGATGGCAATGGGAAATGGTGTGCTTCAGAAACCACAAGTGATAGAAGGTCTTGAAAAAAACCGCTGGTTAGTGTCAAGTGGGATCATGTACTTATAGATAGACTCACCGCTGTCTAAAAATTCCTGGATCTTTTCCACCAATCACGGTCCAATGGGATTCCATTATTTATATCTGAATTGTTATGTTGTTGATGCGCTGATGGACAGTGGATGGTAGCTGGTTGATGAGTGATGGTGGTATGTGATGCGAACATTGATCAATTGATGAGTGTTGACCACTGTTATCAATCAGTGATGTGTAATGGCTGTCCCTGTCACAACCTTAGGGTTTTCAACTTCACACACAGATGGGCCTATGCTGTGGGGTACAAGGCCAACAGATGATTGCAATTGTGTATGAAGTACAGAATCAAAAAATGCTATCAAGGACACAGTGCCATGTCAGAGATAAATTCTACAAGAGTCCCTATGTCCCGCTCCACTTCATCATCCTCATCTAATCCTTCTTCAGTCTCATCATTCTCAAGTGGCTGATCTGTTGTCACAGTGGAGGGAACTTCAACACTGTCAGACCCCTTTCTAATACCAGAAGACTTGTCTCCACTAAATGCATCAAGACAATGAATCTGGGCGATGCATTATAAGAGTTGTTGGTTGATACGACATCGACAAGTGCAGTGCTCATGCACGACTACAAAGATAGGCGAGTTAGACGTCTTGAGTGCATCAAGTATGCGGGCGAATGCTTCATTCTCACCAACAATTGCAGTGTGTAAGCGACAGACTTCAACGTTACAACGAATAATTTCCTCCTTAGCACGTTGAATGCGGAGATATTGGCGGATAGTCTCCTGAACCACAGGTTTGGTCCATGGCTTCTCGCAAATGTCTTGCCATGTTTCACGAAGTAGGTTGAATTCGTCAAGGAAACTGAAGTGTGATACCTTCGACCACTCAAGTGGCGGCCACGGTGGTTGCAACTCTGATGCTACCTCGTTATATTTTTTGACAGCATTCTGGATAGCTCAACATCGGGTTTGAAGAGATTTTGTAATATGAGTGCACATCTTGTATGCTATAAATTCCTTCAGTGACGTCTCAATCGACAAATCATAAACTTACCAGTTTGTGAGACATTAAGACGTTGCAACTCAAACAACTGCTGCACCACAAGATGCTGTAGATTATTGAGGGCCTTATGATACTTGCGAAGCGTCATGTATTTTAGGGTATCTTGATATTCAGGTGATGATATGTTCCAGCAATTTGCAATACCAAGCTTGATTTCCATGGAAATGACTTTGCGTTGAATGACAGCAAAGTGTTTGGCTGCAAAGTGTTGCTGTGTCTCGAGTTTCCGTGTCTGCGATAGATTGGCTGAATAGAAGTTGGACTCTGAGACAGCCGTGAATTGATAGTCATTCAGGGCAGCAGAAACAAAGCGATTGAAGCTCGCAGAAGCTTGGCACCTGCAAAATACATCAGTTGCGGGTGCATGCAAGAAGGAAACACTTACTTGAGCTCTTGCATTTGTTGAAGCAGTTCAACATACACAACAGCATGTGCATCCCACTCAGGTTCCTTCCCAAGCGTCCAGAAGTACTGAATTTCTTCAGCTCGCCAATCCACGAGGTCACTGTCTTGTACACCAAGAGAAGTCTTTGCCTCCTCCAATGCTACAGTCTCCAATGATATGATTCGCAGTGCTTGCCGATAGTTATTGAGTAGCATGGTGCCAAGGTTTGCGTACTTGTCTTCATCCCACTGCTTGAAGAACAGATCCAGGAACATATGACAGTGGTAGGCACTAGCATAGTGAATAACAGGCGATAGCGCATTCGAAGCGCTGAAGATGTGCTTGGCAATGCCAAAGTCTTCGAGTCCTGTGCCTTCGATGCCGAGGGGATGATGTTGAGTTTGACACACGTAATTGTGTGCGTAATCATGGAATGAGTCAACACACAAGCGTGATTGCATTTCTGTGAAGGTAGTACCCAAGGACAATGCACAAACTGTGGATGAGAATCCACACCCAATGTCATAGGCACCAAGAGTGCGCTCTCCAATGACTTCAAGAACTTTGGCAACAATCGCCAATGGATACTTTGCTCTGCAGTGTGTGAGTCAGTGACGTAACAACAAGGAGAAGGATTCACGTACAATTCACCACTCTTAATCATATCTGCGTGCCATAAAATGAATCCATGTCTACAGGCTGCAATGAAGATCCCTGTCTCATTGAAGATTGCCCACATCCTTTTATTATCATTGTCTGCTGCTGCTTTCCAATTTTTGCTACAATCGTCAGCTACTATGTGTGCCCGGGAGACATCTTCTTCGGCATCAGAGACAATGTCATCATCAGGGGCCAGGCGATCATTGACCCGATGTGCAGAGCAAGGTTGCAGCACTTCATTAGTGAAGTGATCAATGAAGGTACGTGGAAGCATGTAATCACTCTCAGTGTACACCTGAGTGTCACCACATTGTCGGTCACCAATGCCCATCATATGCTTGGCTGAATTGCCACCATCCATCATATACATGCATGTAAACTTCAGTGGCGGTTCACCGTTCAATTCATGGGAGCATGGAGGACATGCATTGAGTACCCGCCAATTTGGCGTATCACGTCCAAGGGCTGTGTCCACTCGTCTCCCAACTTCATGAAGAATGGTGAGGTACACATCGAACGAGTCTGCCAAGGCAGTGCGATATGAGCGGCAGTAAGCAATCTAAGTGTTGTAAGTGTGGATTTAAGGCACATATCGATGAAATACATACCAAGTAAGAGTCACATATGACCTTTGTAAAGGCTTCAATGCTGAGTGATGGCTTGCGCAAGTGAAGGAGGCGGTAATGCTCAAGAGTCCGCAGAGATATTGCAATTGAGGGATTGTGGGGTGCATTGCCCAGAAATCCAGTGGATATGAGGGACTGAACTGGGGATATGGAATCCTCCAACCGGTGAAATGTTGTGCGCGTAGACAGGGTGAATATATCGACCGTGTTGATGGAGAAGGAGTAGTCATTCAACTCTGGCATCGGAATCCTCTGCTGCAGTTCGAGGGTGGTGCTGGCTTGTGATGACTTCCAGGTGAGATATGTGCTCACTAGCATAGGAATCAGAGGGCACCAGTTAGCCTGAACAGATTCTAGCTGGTGACGCCATGTACGAGTATCTTTATGTTGACGGTATGCCTATCTGAGAATGATGAGAAGATATTAAGTTAACAGAGAGAAAAACTTATGGGTTATCGACGTAGTCACGGATAGCATATACAATGCTTTCCTCATTGCTCATATGGTCTGGGAGTGCCTCTACATCCATCCCAATATCTTCATTGTCAATCCACTCGGTGTCTTCACGTTGTGCTGGCGGTTCCTCACACATGTCGGCAAGTGCATTGATAGTCTCATCAACGAGCCCTAGGACCAATCAGATGTAGAAAAGTAGACAGAATTATGATAAAGTACTCACCAGTGATGTCTAGTTGATAGTGTGCTTGTGCAGCAGCCCCTTCCATGCTAATTATTGCATGAGAGACAATGCGGCATTGAGTAATGTGGGTCCTATTGCCTGCATGAACAATCCGAACATTGCAAGAGAGACCTCGACGAGTCCTTGAGGGTGGCATAAAGGTGAGAGGGAGGGAGAGATAAGAAAGGAAAGTACCTTGTATTTAACTACTCATGGCCTTTAAACAGTGGGGTGGGAACAGCTGCAATGTGTTCGGTGTTGTAGGGCGTTGTGGAAAAAAAACACGCATAATAGTCATGCTCAATGTTGAAGGCAATGAGGAAGGACATTGTCAATGATGAGTGGCGAACCCTTACCGTATTTGGTATGTTTGCGCTGGTTGGTATTCAGTAACATTGGCTAGCTGTCATATCCCGTACCTCCGGAACCAGAATTCCAGATCTACTTCATTAAAGTCCGGTCCTCCGTCTTACTATTCCGCCCGGCGCTCCGCCTTCATCTCCGCACTCACCCCTAACTCCTTTTAGATTAGCTATTGCTCCAGTTACCGGTTATGTTCTTTCCGCTATGCTTATTGATCCGTCCATTCCTACTCCATATCCGACCTCACTGCTTTGATCCGTTATACTTAGTAATAGACTTTCCACATGCTTCGTACATAGCCCTTACCTTTGCTGACTGATTCACGTACATGTTACCTACAGTATATAAACCCCTGTAATACTCCGGAACTCCTCAGTTCGAATATCATCTTAGTTCTGCTCATTCCTGCAATCTCTGGACTTGAGTCTCACCTCTTGTCCACCTCCGAGTCTTAGGGGTTAAACCTTAGGACTACTTCTCCAGCTCTACCTTAGGGTAGTCTAACCTCTGTTCAGTTTCTACTCCGGACTTCCATAGTAGCCTTACTCCATCCCTGCATAAACCTTCCAGAGTTCCGCCGAACTCCACCGACACTAAGTCCTCCAGAACTCCCCAGACTTCCGTCGGACTTCCCCTCTGTCCCCTGGAAATTAAAGGGCACATACTCGGGTAAGGGGCGCAGCACACGAGCTGAAGCCGAAGCCCTTTGAGTAACCTCTCCCTTGAGCATGACCTTAACACTAGCGGATGTTGCCGGTGTGGGACTTTGGTGGTTTTTTTCGAAAAGTAAATATTCAGCATTATTACACTATTTACTGGCAGTGTAGAGCTTTGGCGTAATCTATTCTAATTAGAATGGCAAGTCCCTGGGAGTATGGCATTCTTATTAAGGCAAGATTATGTGATGTCGAGGTGAATGGCTTGAAATAGCCTGCAAGCATTGTAACAAAAATAGAATGTTGCAATTTCTGCTGTTATCTTGTCAGGAGGCGAGTCAACTTTCAATTATCTTATCTTACCTTGGGTACCATTATCTTATCTTAGCTAGCTTACCTTGTTACCTTACCCTATTGCAACCATTTAGACTTTGTTATCATCGAGGTTCGAACTCAAGGCCTAAGACTTATTCAAGTTAATATTTCCTTATTATAGCGACATTTGGTACTTACCTTGAGCATAGTTTCCGCTACACCATAGGGCCTTGTATATAGGTAAACCCTGGTTGTATATGAATAGCAATTGAGTCCTAATACTTGTAATACCAAAAGTGCGGTTTAATCAAAGTAACTATGGAACAATTACAAGACACAATTCAAATGAAACTGATATAATAGTACTACTTGTGAGAATGAGTTGCACGAGTCACTGTGATTCCAGAAGATGCAGCAGCAGCCTTCTTCTTTCTTCCCCTTCCCCTTCCCCTGCCTTCACCTCCTCCTGCAGCCTGTAATTCCTGAATGACAGGATCAGTCTCTGTGTCTGGCCCAATATCAGGTCCACTCTCATCAATGTTGCTAAGGGCAGACATCCCCGAGATACTCTCAATGAGCTGCAGTATGGAGGCAGGCTCTGCAGCTGCAACTGTATTGGGTGTGCCATGAGTGGGTGCGTCCACTGACCTGTCGTCACTATTCACATCAAGTGCCACCATGGCCCGATTGATAGCATTGGTATGATCTTCATGATCAGCATCAATGGTTGAAGTTCGTGCAGCGGCGCTGAAAACATAGTTGTTGATCTTAGTCACGATCTCCTCGATGCACTTACTCTTCCACTTTGTGACAAGAACTCTCTTATAGTTGTAGAAAAGCTCCTTGTAGCTGATGTTGGATTTCTTCCCCACACCTGAACCAGAAAACTCGGTGTCAGGTGAGAGGAAAAATATTGTCTGTGTCATTATGTCAGTGAGAGAATCCAACAGCAAGGACAAGATAACTCTGTCGTACAATGACGGCTGCCCATGCAATCGATCCTGGCATGACTTGGCAGATATCCCACTTCTGCAAATTCGTGTGAGCGCCAATGCTGTGACTGCTACCCTGGTGGAGTGATGTAACACCACACAATGCTGCTTTCAATATCTGAGTGTGTTGTGAGACATGCAAATGAGAAGAGAATGACTGTCTTACCTGTGCTAACAGTTTCCAACTTCCAAACACGGTCTTGAGAGACTTGTCTTCAATCAAGTCAGGAAACAGAACTGGTGGGAATGTTGTATACCGTCGGGTTGGTTGCAGACATGACTCCAAGCAACTTTTGGATTTCAGGGACACCAGCATGGTCGTAACTGATGTTGGTAAAATATTTTGAGGGAAGGTCAAAGATCATGCCAGCAACATTCCATAGCTTCTTGATCTCACTTGAGCAGGCGTCCATGATACTTTTAAGTACCTACCATAGTATAGATAAGCGCATAAGTCCAGCAAAGAAAACTACTCACCAGCTCAGCAAAATAAGAGCTCTCCATAACTATGTGCATCTGCACTGGAAAGCCATGGTACAGCTCATCCAAGAATGCCAATTCTTGTGTGAGTGCAGTCTTGTATCAATCGACACTGTCAAAAGGAGTTGGAGACAAAGGCAGAAGCTTATTGAGAAGGTCTTTGGAAGGAAACATCTCCATCATCATTCCATACTTGCAAGTGTTGATGACAATCACTGTCTCATGGGTGATGAGTTCTTCAGGAGGTGCTGCATTAACCTTCCGTTTGCGCTTGGGCTTCTCTGCAAGCAGAACTTTGTTCTCTTCCTTGAGAGCCCTATTCTCTTCACGGAGCTTCTGTCACGAATTCCAAACACAAATCATTTTTCATTCCTCAGCTTTTCTCCGGCTACTTCCAGTTACCAAACCGGTCATGTGACTTCACTTCCTGTTCCATCTTCACATATCACCTATTGTTTCTCCGATTGGTTCCCCAACTCCACGGGCTAGAACAATCTCGCTTCCCAAAGAAGTACCGGTCAGATCTTGGGCTTCTATTTAGTCACTGTCTGACTCATTGCTTATATATCATTATGTCATGATCAGTCATCTGCAGTATCATATGACTCTTTTATCATTGGCTGATTTCTTTCATACTCAAATATCTCCTCTTCAATGTTATGTATATAAGTAGGTTATTTAGCATAAGTACTCCTTAGACTTAACCTCTTCATTTCTACACTGGTGGTAGACTTAGATGTTCACACTAGTCATAACATTAGGTTAAGTCTTCTTACCACTCCAACTTGAACTTTGTCTTGGACGTCACTGTTCTTGACAAACTTCATTGTGCTATTCGGCTGAGATTTATCTCGCAGATTACGTTTAAAATAATCATTTTCCCCGACACATTTTGTTATATCAATCTCTTTATGATTACTCTTTAGTAGAAGTAGACCAGGCCCTTGCCTTCAGTGAGCCGCCAGTCTATAAGGATCAGTGACACATAGGTCCTGTTTCCGTACGTCTACAGTTCGGCCCAAAACCCTGCCAACTGTATGCTACATATCTGCATTCTACATAACAGAACGGCACTCGTGACTGTCCTCTCACAGTCTAGTTACATTACGATAGGAATTTTTGGGTACTAGAAGCAGACCCAAAGTTCACTGCGTCTTTTGCAAACTCCTCTCGAGTTCTACTTAGGTTGACGAACTGCTACACACGCTGTATTCGCACCTTTGTCATCATTGCCCCACCATACAGATCCCATCTCGTCAGAGCAAGAGCTCTCATGTTACACGACAACTCTTCCTGTCTAGCAAACAATTGTCCATTCTTCAATGTCCTCGAATCTAGGAGAAACTGGGATAACCGCTTCAGAGGATATAGAAGTGCCAATCGCTCTGCCAGCAATACCACCAGTAACAGCTCCAGACAGGGATCAAATCCACTCTCTGGCACCGCAGGGATGGCACAACCGGGGTCCAGTCGTATCTGTAGAACCATCCACCACCCCACATCGAAGCAGAAAGAGCGTACACCAGAGCCTTGATAGACCAAATGCAGAAGGAGATTGACAAGCTTCAGGCAGGCCTGGTACATGTGGATGATGAGATTGTGAACTTGAGGATCAGGATAAGGGACTCAGAGGACGATATCACAGCTTTGAAAACCTCATCTACCACGAGGACCCAAGGCGGTATATCTGGGACTTCAAGCTCTGATCTCAAAATGGCGAAACCCGCAGATTTCACAGGGGACAAAAACTCCATTGATGTCGATACCTTCCTCACCCAACTTGAGATCTACTTCACAGGTTACCCTGGAGCGACAGAACATCAGAAAAGCTCATGCTTAATTTCCTTCTGTTGTGGGTCAGCAGTGAAGTGGGCAGAGAGCGTCACACCACAGGCTCTTGGTGGTGCAATCGGGTCTTATGACGAAATCAAAAATGACATGAGAGCCATGTGGGGACTCATCAACAAAGAGGAAAAAGCAGCAAGAGAGTTAGACGCACTTCGCCAAGGAACCTGCACAGTAGCGGAGTACGTTTCCCTCTTCCGGCAGAAGATTGCCTACTGTCACTTCTCCGACTACGAGCTCATGCACAAGTTCCGCTTCGGAGCAGACCAATGGGTTAAGTTCCAGTTGGCATTTGTCCACCCTGGTAGGGAAGACACTCTGGAGGGGTTGATCAGAGAGTCGCTCATCATTGGGCAAAACCTAGAGGAACTTGACAATGAGAAGAGTGGCTGGACGCCCCGCCGTCCGTGGCAAGGTGCTGCTGCAACATCTGCACCAGTAGCACCCAAGACCACGTCGCAAGGAGGAAATGCGATGGACATTGATGCAGCCAGGACAGGAGGTAGACCCTGACCTCAAGGACAACCGGTGTGGGGAACGTCCCCACTGTAGGCCCGTATCCTGCATATTTCCCATGCCTTCCCACCATTTTCCCACGTGTTCCGCTACCCATCCGCGTCTTCCCCGACCCGTCCGCTACACGGAACCCAGCGGAACCCAGCGGAACAATCACGTACCACACGCATTATATTCCTTCAGCCTTCGGAACATCCTCCTCCGTCCTGTCCATGTCCTTCCATCCTCGCTGGTGAGTACTAGCTACGTTCCCTGTGTCACTAACATGTTCCTATCTCATTTCCCATGTGTTATGGTACTTATACGGATCCTTCCGCTACTTGGGACCGATTCCTTATCTCACAGCCTCACCCGGTTGTAGCATATCGCATTTCAGAACCCCTTCCTATATAGGTAGCAATAGATGGGATCTTAGTTTTTACCTTCTGATAGACTCAACTCCACTTCCACTTACAGAGTACTTCTCAGTACTCCACTCACTGTTTAAAATATCTTCCCGAATCTATTCCTGATCACATTGCATCGTTCCCACCCCCGTGAGTTCCGCTTGAAACGCCTGACATCGGATCCGACGACTTGGAGCAAGTACCAGACACAAGCCTGGTCCGACTTTGCCCAATCATCCTCCTGCAGGCTTGTAGTTTCTTTTCCTTCCGTTTGTTCCCTGTTTGTCTTGTTTGCTCCGCGTTAGTTCCGTTAGTTCCCCGTAGTTCCGCTCGTCGCGCGCTGAGTTCCGCTCGTCGGGAACCCTCTGCATCTTTGTGTTCCCAGTCCTAGTAAGGACCGGAACCCTTCGGGTCGCTAGACAGAGTCTAGTCTTTGTTTCCTCGCACTTATTTGAGGACTCGCTACCCAGTAGCAATCCCCTCGGGACGAGTATAAGCCTCGCACCCTTGTTAGACTTCTGATTCACACAGAGTCTATTTTCCTCACCCACACCGGGACATGATTTCAAGTGTTATCGTTGTGGAGAAGACGGGCATATGGCTTGTAATTGCACAGGAAAACCTCTTGACAAGGGCAAAGGACCAGCTGTCCACACTGTCAAAGGAGAAGAAGTTCCAGCTGTGAAACCGCTCACACTGGAAGATATTAACCACATCGTTAACGAGAGGATTTGCTTATCCACCATGTACAACCCAGAGAAGAAGGGTTTTTAGATAGATCAAAGTTAACTGTGAACTTAGATCAGAAGAATTGTTTCTCCATTCTCGGTGACTCAGCAATTATGTTTACAGAAGTATCAGAAGTTTGTTCTGGAATAAATGAGAGCATTTTTACTTGCCAGTTACGTTGGAAGGAAAACAAAGGAAAGCAGCTGTCAATGCTCTAGTAGACTGCGGAGCAACAAACCTCTTCATCAGCGAAAAGTTTGTAGAAAAGAACCAAGTCCAAACCAAGCAGTTATTGTGAGCACTGCTGGTCCGCAATATCGATGGGACTAAAAATTCCACCAGACCAATCAAAAGCTACGCCGATTTGAAGCTCACAATAGGGATCATGAGGAAGAAGTAGCTTTTCTGATCACAGATCTAGGAACCGATGATGTCATCATTGGAATAGATTGGCTATGATACCACAACCCCAGTATCAATTGGAATGCGGGAAAGGTGGCATTAGACCATTGTCCAGTTAAATGTCAAGAAGCCAAGATCAAGGACAAAAAGACCAAGGCAAAGAAGTGAAGAGCCACAAACTCTTTGATCCCTTCGGTGTTGCCCAAGTTGATACTGGTAGAAGATGACGAAGATGAGGATATTGAGGAAGCCTCTATCCATCATCAGATTCAGTCGACAAGCTTCAACTCTTCACCTTTGTCACATGAATCGTGAGGACATGTCAGGATTAAGGAGGAAGAACAATCGGACCTTACTACTACTGTTGGGCATGGAGCTACCAAGAATGTGCCTAACATTGAGGAAGTCGAGGATGAGGATTCACCACAGAACATGTGGATCAGATACAAGAGCTCTGTAGCGTCAGAGTTAGCTCAACAGGAGGAAAAGAAGGAAAAGAAGCCCATAGAAGAGATGGTGCCAGAGTGGCCTCATGACTACCTTAAGGTCTTCTCCAAAGAAGAATCTACTCAATTCCCCAAGTCTAAGAAGTGGGATCATAAAGTAGATCTCAAGGACCCTAATGATCTTCCTCCCAATGTAAAAGCATATCCCCTGTCACCCGTCGAAAATGAAGCATGTGAGAAGTGGCTCAAACAAGAATACAATTTAGGACAACTGAGAGATTCCGAATCTCCAGTAGCAGCTCCTTTCTTCTTTGTTGCTAAGAAAGACGGAAAGCTTAGACCTGTCATGGACTATCAGAGGTTGAATGAAAAAACTATCTGAAATGCATACCCTCTCCCTCATTCTCAGGATCTCATCGATCGTCTCTCCAGTGCAAAACTCTTTTCGAAAATGGACATTTGATTGGGTTACAATAATATCAGGATGAAAGAAGGAGACCAGTGGAAGACTGCCTTCAGAACCCCTTTTGGACATCATGAACCAGTTGTAATGTACTTTGGCATGACAAACTCCCCTGCTACTTTTCAAACTATGATGGACCAGATCTTCCAAGATCTTAAGGAAGGAAAGGTCGTTGTAGTATACATCAACAATATCTTGGTCTTCACCAATGACAATGTAGAAAAGCATAGAAAGGTGGTGCACGAAGTATTGCAAAGATTGCAGGACAATGACCTTTATCTCAAACCGGAGAAATGTTCCTTTGAGAAGAAAGAAGTGGAGTTTCTCGGTTTGATTGTTAAAGATGGACACGTCTCATGGATCTGGTCAAGGTTAAAGGAGTCCAAGAATGGCCAACTCCCACCTGTGTCAAGGATATCCAAAGATTCATGGGATTTGTGAACTTTTACCGTTGATTCATTCTTGGTTTCTCGAACATTGCTAGACCTATGAATGAACTCATAAGGAAGGATGTGCCATGGGAATGAACGGACAAGCAAGAGAAGGCTTTTAGAACACTCAAAGACAATTTTACTTCTGCACCAGTGCTAGTTATGCCAGATGCAAAAAAGAAACAGAAGATAGAGAGCAATGCATCTGACTACGCTACTGGTGGTGTACTTTCTCAGTTGGAAGAAGACGGACTATGGCACCCAGTGGCCTTTTGTAGTAAATCAATGCAGGATGCAGAGAGGAATTATGATATCCACGACAAAGAACTTTTAGCTATCATCTGTGCATTGGAGGAGTGGAGGCATTATGTGCAAGGCACACCTCACCCGGTAGAGATTTGGATGGATCACAAGAACCTCAAATACTTCATGACAAGTCAGAAGTTAACTCACAGACAAGCGAGATGGTCCTTGCTCCTTGCAGAATACAATTTCACACTGCAACACAAACCGGGGAAGGTTAATGACACTGCCAACACTCTGTCCAGGAGGCCAGACCACAGAGGGGGGGGGGGGGGGGGTAGAAAACAACAATTCTGATTGCGTGTTTCTAAAACCTGAGTTTTTCCATATTAAAGGCACAATAAGAGGTCAGATTCTGAAAGAAGGAGAACAATTGCTATTGAAGTGTATCAGAAACTGCACCGATTTAGATCTGGAAGTCTGAAATACTATCAAAACCCTGAAGAAAGCCCCTGTGCAGTTGAGAAGAGGACTAGAAGAGTGGAATACAGAGGATGGACTCATTCTATTCAGAGGATTGGTATATGTTGCTCAGTGCTAGAGATCTTCCATGACTCGCCTGCAGCAGGACACATGGGACATGCCCAAACTCTTGAATTGGTTTCTCAAAACTATTGGTGGCCTCAGATGCAGAAATGGGTCAATGAGTACGTAGATGGGTGTGATCGATGCAAGCAAACAAAGGTGTTACCATCAAAACCCCACGGACCCTTGAAGCCAAATGAAATTCCAGAGGGACCATGGCAAACTATTAGCTGTGATCTTATCGTCAATCTACCCATCTCCCAAGGCAAAGACAGTATTCTAGTAGTTGTTGATCGCTTCACAAAGCAAACACATCTTGCTCCAACCACCAACAATGTTGATTCCAAAGGAATCGTGGACTTATTTCTCAACCATGTATGGAAGTTGCACAGAACACCGAAGAAGGTAATTTTGGATAGGGGAACACAATTTGTGTCCAAGTTCATGCAGGAAGTCTCAAAAAGACTAGGAACCAAGTTGTCCATGTCGACAGCATATCACCCTCAGACTGATGGACAAACTGAATGAGTCAATGCAGAAGTAGAGCAATATCTCCGACTCTTCACGTCGTACCATCAAAATGACTGGGTATTGTGGCTCCCTATTGCAGAATTTACACATAACAATTCCATTACAACTACTGGACATTCCCCATTCAAAACCCTCTATGGCTATAACCCTGAATTCGTCATTGCTCCCAATTCCTCTAATACTGTTCCTCAAGCTGATGAGAGAGTAGCCGAGATGAAAGAAGTGCAGAAAGAAGCCAAGGCAACGCTAGAAATAGCAAATGATTGGATGAAGCGTTTCTATGATCATGGAGTGAAAGACACACCTATATTGGAAGTTGGACAGAAGGTTTGGCTGGACGCCAAAAATATCAAACAATGGCGCCCAAGTCAGAAGTTGTCGGATCGCCGTCTTGGCCCCTTTGAAATACTTGAGCGAATAGGCGAGTTAAACTACCAGATCAAATTGCTGCAATCATATCAGATCCATCCGGTATTTCATGTGGGATTACTCACACCCCACAAAACTTCTGCACTAACGCCTCAAATCGCCCCCATATGTCCACCCCCAGATATAGTCCAATCCAAAGAAGAGTATCAAGTAGAAGAAGTGATAAGCAGCAGAATACAGCAACGGAAACTAGAATACAAAGTAAAATGGAAGGGGTATCCATTGGAAGAAGCGACATGGGAAAAAGAGGAAAATCTGAAGAACTCCCCCAGATTAGTCAGCAAATTTTACGCCATGCACCCTGACACTCCAAAATTGCACTGAATCGCTAGTTCTATTATTCCAATTTTACAGACATCCGGTTTCCTTGAATGGAGACAAAAAAATATCTGACCATCTTACATTCGCAAGGACGCTCATCCTAGAAAGGGGGTAATGTCACGAATTCCAAACACAAATCATTTTTCATTCCTCAGCTTTTCTCCAGCTACTTCCAGTTACCAAACCGGTCACGTGACTTCACTTCCTGTCACATCTTCACATCTTCACATATCACCTATTGTTTCTCTCATTGGTTCCCCAACTCCACAGGCTAGAACAATCTCGCTTCCAGAAGAAGTACCGGTCGGATCTTGGGCTTCTATTTAGTCACTGTCTGACTCATTGCTTATATATCATGATGTCATTATCAGTCATCCGCAGTATCATACAACTCTTTTATCATTGGCTGATTTCTTTCATACTCAGATATCTCCTCTTCAATGTTATATATATAAGTAGGTTATTTAGCGTAAGTACTCCTTAGACTTAACCTCTTCGTTTCCACACTGGTGGTAGACCTAGACGTTCACACTCAAATCTATCTTGTTCATTATCATCCCTCTTGACCGAGTCCTAGTGGTTGTGTGGTAGTCTTTACCATTCGGTGAATGCTAGTCATAACAGCTTCTGAATGTCTATTTGCAGTGCTTTGAGGGCCTAAAATATAACTGTCATTCAGTGCACGCCAAATTCAATCGTCACTTACATCTAAAAGCTCTCCTTTTGATGTGCCAGGTCCAGGGATCAAAGCAACATTGGGACCGTCCCAGTCACTGTCGGTGTCTGACATGAATTGCGTTCACTCAGGTTGTCGTAAGTTTCAGGAAGGGAAGTGCAAGGAGAATTTAGCCACCTACATGACTTTTTATAACAGAGTCCAGCACCGCCTAATAACGAACACCATCAGTCATATTTCATTGTGGTAAACTTGAGCAATCACATACATGTAATGAGGTATGCTGGTAGTAAGCAGCTAGACCAAAAACAGAGGTATGGGCGCAAACCTTCACATGTAAAGGGTATCATTGGCGACTGCATGTGCCCAGAGTGTTTTGTGTTTGATGGGGAAGCACTAGAGGATGAGAATGCAGTTGTAAGCGCTGAGATGAAGCAGTTAAGGTGGGCCTGCTTACATGACTGCTGTTGACACATCAATGTTCACCAAAGCACGAACACATGATGGGGAGTGCTGAAGGGTGTAGTTGGATGAAGAAGCGCTGGAGGTAGTGAAGCATTGGAGGGTGGAGAAGCACGGTGGAGTCACATAAGAGTACGTGAACATTGCCGAATTGTTTGATGGTGAGGACCAACGTGAACATTGCTGAATTGTTTGATGGTGGGGACCAGCGTGAACATTGCCGAATTGTTTGATGGCGAGGATCAGCATGAACATTGCCGAATTGTTTGATGGTGAGGACCAGTGTGAACATCGCCAAATTGTTTGATGGCGGGGATCAGCATGAACATTGCCAAATTGTTTGATGGCAAGGTATATGTCGGTGGAGCTTGTCGGGAGAACAACCAACACCAAGCAACAATGCAGAATACAGATGGAGAAGCATGGTGGAGTCACATAGCCTCGTAGCACCAATTGGCAGATCCCTACAGAGGTCATGTCAATCAACATGAAAATATACTGATATTGGTGTGAAGGTGCTGCACCTCGCTGTTCCAATCATCAAAATCCATCAAGCACGCACCAGATGCCCTGCCTCCAAGTGCATCTCCCTCATATGAACAAACATATCAGTGTCCACAGTGTCAACCTGTCATATACCTGATCTGACCACTCCAATATTAATATCCGCTCCGCCTTCCGACCACCTCCGCCCCATCCATCCCCCGCTCTGTCCAATCACAGTCCACTCCTACACTTCTGCTCCACCACCCAACCAGTCTCCTTCCATAATGTCTCCATTCAACTGGAACCTCTTTCCCCTTGTAGATATATACTTTCCCCTTCGGTACATAGACCCTTACCTCCAGATCACTGGTAATTCCTCTTACCGCTCTATCACTGATCCGACACATACATATTGATATCTGCTCCAACTTATGTCTTTGCCTGTGTAAGTACTTACAAATTATATCCTTGGTACATAGCTTTACAACATAGTTATCCTGATCACTGCCTCATACTTAGAAGTATATAACATATCCTGTACTTAGATATTTTCCCCAGTCTTAATATTACTTGTCTTCTTGCAGTTTCTACTTGTAAGAATTCTCAGTAGGACCTTGCCTCCTCCGGACACAAGTTTCACCTTGTTGTCACCTCTGACCCTCTGCTCCGACTTAGAGCTGTGCTCTAAGTCTTCTCCTTACTTCTCCGCCCCTATCAAGCATTCCCCCTGCTCCTTTCCCCCTTCCGCATCATCCTCCACCTTCTCTGCTCCACTCCTAGTCGGCCCGCCGCTAGTAGCACTTACCTCCTGACCCTCAAAGCGGACCTAAGCGGACCACTTGTCCTATCGTCGGACAATGTTGGATCCGCTCCAAATTTGGGGCACGTACTCGGCTAAGGGCGCAGCGCAAGAGCTGAAGCCAAGCCCTGACCCCTCCGCTTCCTGAGCCAGCACGGTACCTAACACAACCACCAGATGGTCAAATGGTCCATCTGGAACCAGAAGCACTCCGCATATTATTGACCTGACTGAGAAAAATTGCAACTGTGCTCATGCACATGCTCGAACTCTGAATAAATTGAAGTTCTTATCCTTGTGAAGGTGTACACCAGTGGGAGCGTCAAATGGGTGCACCAAGGCAAGAGGAAAAGTATGTTTCCCAACTGTACACTCGAACACAAAGAGAAGGCAGCCAAAAATCACTTTCTTTGGAGTCATCTGAATGAAAACACAGTCGAAATGTGTTGTGCCAAAGAATTGTGGACTGTAGCAAAGCTAATCAGTGTGCTGCTGCCAATCGACCATTGATTCATAGTCGACTTTCAAAAAGCGAAATTCTGTTATCTTTGCCATAAATCAGTGTAGCAAATAACAGCACTGAATGAAACAATTGTACCTCATCACTTGCTCGGAGGCAAATCTGTTTCCCTTGTGGTAGAGGTATATTGGAAGCAGGTAAGAAGTCGTTCAAAAAGTCATTGAGTCTGGTGTGGAAGTTTGAAAATGTGTTGTCACTACGGTAAACGTTCTCAACCAAGTCAAAAGTCTGTGGGGGTTGTTTCGACCCAACTTTCACATGGAGAACACCTGTCAGTGGAATCAGGTCGTCTGCAGCATCAAACACATCATCTCCAGCGTCAAGTGCATCATCAGCAGATTGATTTTGTGCTTGTGAGCGATGATATTCATCGAAGTCTGACAGACGACGATGAATATCCTCCACGACCAGTTGCCAGTGATTTACATGCAGAATCTGTAATTAAATACAAGTTCAGAGAGTGTTACATTGTACCATGAAAAAATAGCATGACCTGCTCAGCAACATTTCGGAAGTTAGTCCGCAGAAAATATGAATCCTTCAATGGTCCATGCATCTTCTCATTTGGCTTCGTGTTTTAGTTCCATGTGACTCCTTTCACTTCAATGTCGTCAAACAGATGCACATCCATATGGAGTTTTGGGAAGTTCCAACCCTTATCCTCAATATTTGCTATTTTGTCAATATATTGCTGTATATATGTCAATGATATGTGATGTTGGAATGCAAGAAACATACCTTTAGGAACACAGAGAATACCTCAACTACATTTCTCCCTTCACGAACCATATTTGATGTGTGAACTTCTAACGATGCATACATGTCAACTTCAATATACAGAAATATGCACCGAAGAAGCAGGTAACCAAGTGGACAGTCCTCCTTTGTCACAACATCATGCGCAGCATATGGTATCATCTGGCTAGTCATCAGCACCATTCAAACAGAACAGTCATAAGATCGCAAACCTTCAAAATGTTCTCAGGTATGGAGCTGTCAGTAAATGCAATGTCCATGACCTGATTGGGGTGCTTCTGATTACACCAGCACAGAAATTCTTTAAACCTGCAAGATGTGTCAGCTTTAATAAGTTGCAAGAACAAATTCCAAACCTCTTGTCAATCTGAGAAACAGTGTCTCTCCCAAGGCCATTCAGGAACTTCTGGAACTTGACCCAAAGATGGTCATCAAAAAGGCCACCATCACGGAAATGAAGCTTATCATATGACAGTGCTCGGTGAACATCTGTGCAGTGTATTAGCCACAGTGAGTTCTGTCAATATATGTAGTCAAAAGGAAGATTCAGGAAGGTTGAGAAATGCTCACATCCATGTCATGAAGTCCATACTCCTTTAGCGTTTTCTCTCTCTCCTCCAAAGTGTGCTTCGTTCATGCTAAGTTGATGATTGCCTGTGAGCCTTTGCTTGTTTGAAGAGGATATCTCTTTGATGCATCCGAGAGCGCGTCTTGAGGGACCAGGCAAATAGGGCATGGCCACAGACTTTGTACTCCTCAAATCAACAACATCACACATCTATAATTTTCAGTAACCATGGTCTGTCAGCAACAAAGAAATAGCTATAGTTATTGATACCTACTGTTCCTTGTAATCAGCTGACAAAATAAGAATTGATGGGAAGAACCAGCGTGAGAGACGGTCTAAGCATTCAAACCATTGTCTCGTTTTTTATTTCGACGTTAATGATGAGAGGATCCTTGAAAACGGCTCATGCCGGACTTTATTTTCAAAATTAACCCAACCAGGCTTTTTCGCAAATTCTTTGTCCTCCTTCACCTATTAACAAATAAGCTAATGTCAGTGCAACGTTGCACATTCTTATAGTGGCAAAGATCCTGGCATACAATTGGCAGCCAGCCAACAACATAACCACCACCTATACCCTCTCCATTGCATATGTCTGTAGGCAAGTTCACTAACCAAGCGATGACAGGATAGGCTTTCGCAGCACCAGAACTTGACAACTTGGTCTTGTCGGCATACAGTATGAAAGTCAGTGGCTTAGCACCTTCAGGCAGTTGCGACTGGTAAACATGACATTTGAAAACATTACATAGTCGAAACCGCTCGAATACATACTTGAAAGTCCCAGAAGGCTTCTGCAGTGTAAGGCTCATCCATAAATCGTACAAAGTTTATGCCATCAAATTTTGATAGGTGCTGTGCATCAAATGTCATATGCGGGAAAAGACACAGGTCTCAAAGAAGGTCAGCAGCCCACTCCCAAAGGTCCCGATAATGTACTTCGAAATCCCATGATTTATCCTCATACATCATTGAAATCACTTCTTTCATGAACTAAACTACACAAGTCAGACATGCAGACACCATTACAAGAAATTGAACCACCCCTGTGACATGTTGAGATGCTGCATCCCATTTCTTGTGAATGTTCTTGTGGTTTTTGAAGGTGAATTTGTCTTTCCCAAAAGCACACTGGTGGCAGATTTTGGTGAGCCAATTGGTTTGCTCATTGTTCAGTGCAGCCTCGAGAGCTATCTTGGTGACTTCAAATTCTAGTCAAGATTTGAATGGAAGCCATGGCTTCTTGTTAGGTGGGGGATCAGAAGTTGCTGCCACCGGACAATGCTGGAACTCCTCAAACGCATAAACCTTGGTCTTGATGCCACTTTTGGGTGATGTTCAACCTTGATGTCATCCTCCGCAAACATATGATCTTTGTCTACTGAGGGTTTGTGTTCCGGGTGTGAGGGATCTGTAAGCCGATGACATATCAGCATTATTAGTAGCAAGACAGGTAGTGCTATGAGATGTTGTCACATACCAATAAATACATCGTCATGCATGCTCCATTCACGAGATGATGGTTCACGCTCAGGCTGGTGCTGCCTCGATGAACCCGCTGCATGGACAGTCTGAGATGTTGCATGTCGAAGTGCTGATTCAGAATTAGCCCCTGCTGCAGATATTATTGCAAGTAATTCAGTTCTATGCAAGTCAACATACCCTTCGCTTGAATGGCACTTGCAACAGCTTCGTCTCAAAGTTTTTTTTCTAGGTTTCTCTTGCAGGCCTTTCGGTGAGTGCTCCAGCTGCATGGTCAGATTTCTTGCCCACATATATCACAAAGTTTCATCTGCTCTGGAGCCATTTTGAGACACAAATATACAAGGATATGAATAAGGGGTACACAGAGGTATTGTGGGTATGATATGAACAGAAAAAAGTGAAGTGCTACCTCTCATTGTCGAGAATCAGCGCACAGGCAGGAAAAGGCCAGTTGCAAGGTGTTGCAATCCATTGAAACTCTATGCAAAATTTTATCATATCATTTCAATATACATGTCAACAACATGTTAATGGCAGCCCATTGCAACCGATCTTGCAAATTTCTGACACTCGCCAAAAATGGCTGGTATTTCGAACCTCAGCCAGGTGTGGGCTGGGCTGGGCACTGCATGAAGGGGAGACCGTGTTTGAAAGGTATAGAAGAGAGCAACAGGAAGAGGGTGAAGATCCATGGGCACCCTTTGAGAATGTGTGAGTGTTTGATCAGTGTGGCAAAGCATATACTAAATAGACGACTCACCAGAGAAGAGTGGGGTCTAGCCCAATGGCTTGTCAAAAACCTCAGTCAAACACAGACTGATGAATTTCTGAAACTACCCATAGTACATTCCAAGTGTTAGTCAAATTTAGAACTCACTGTGTTAATACTGTTACCAGACTCAAATCTGCTTGAAGCTTCCATTTCACAATAACCACTCATTCTTGCAAAGGGTAGATGAACTTCCACATGGTCCAGCATGGAGTTGTAAGAAGGTCACTGTGTGCGGTAATTGTTAGGATGAAAATGGAGAGTTGTTGCAAGAAGAGGTTGAACTATGGAGTCGAGATCCAGTTGAATGTGTGAAGGAGCTGATCAGGAACCCTTCTTTCAAGGTGGATGTTAAGACCGTGCTCAGGGGTAGGACAGAGTCTGAGGGGCTTGGCTTCAGCTCGTGCGCTGTGCCCCTTACCCGAGTACGTGCCCCTAATTTCGGATTGTAGTCCAACTTGAGTTCTATGGGCTCCGACAGCATGTCGGAGTGGAGGTCCTCTGAAGGAGGACCGATGGACTACTAGATAAGCACAGGAACATTGGGCGGAGATTGGTCCGCCCTACAGGGGAGAGTCGGAGGGCTACTGTAGTCGGAGCTAACAGTAGGAGTGGAGTGGAGGAGACTGCTCAGACGATGTCCAAAACAGAATAGGAACACAGAGGACAGAGGTACAAGAGTACTAGTCACAAGTCCGACACGCGGGAAAGGTGGCGGAGGTGCGGGAAGTTGGACGAGCGGAGAAAGTGGCCAACCTAGGGAGTCAATCCCCTAGGCCGGCAAACAGGAGTTGTCAAGGGGTTTGCCCAAGAACAAGGACAAGAGAGCAGGGCTTAGAAAAGGTAATATTCAGACTGAGTATCTACAGACAATTGTACATATGTTTATATACTCTAAGTGGGTAGCATAGCATAGCAAAAGGCTATGTGCTGAGTGTACAGAATTATTAGAAAGATGACTGAGACATACGAGAAAAGGGGCTCAGAGAATAGTATGTACACAACGGATCAATAATCACTCGGGTATAGAGATTACCGGTGATCCGAAAGGAGGACTATGATACTAAAAGGAGATAGGACCAGTTGGATGGTTCCTAGTCTAGGGGTGGACTGGTGAGGCAGACCAATCGTCAGATGGAACAACACAAGAGGAACTGGAGGAACTGAGTGGATCGGAAAAGCGGAGATGGTGGAGGGAGTCAGACCAATGGAGTGGAGGAGCGGAGCTCCAGATAGGGTCGGAGGGTAGGGATATGGTGTCGGAGGAAATAGGGGTAGTGTCGGAGAAGCGGAGCGGAGTCGGGCAGAGGCAGCAGGGCTAGTCCTGCTGAGATGCACTTCGTGCATTGTCGGAGAAGGAGGGATGGAGCGGACAGGGAAACAGGGGGTCGGACCAATGGTAGGGACATCTATGAATGGTGTTGGAAGTGGCTGAATCGGGTATATGACAGTGGATATGGCCTACACCCCTGCTAGAGCTTATTCAGAGCATGCAAGGGAGCATAGAATTATTGATGAGATGTGGACGGTGGACTGGTGGGGCGAGAAACAGGTAAGATTATGCCAAAGAGAGCAATAAGGAATGGAGTGACCGAACTGACCTCTCACACAGAAAACTTTGCCCAATGGAGCCACAATAGCTCCAATTATTCTAGTGTCTGACAAAACATTGTTGTCCCAATTCCAAGGGGATAAGTTGGCATGGCCGGTCTATATGTCTATTGGCAACATTGCCAAAGCAAAAAGGCGTCAGGCATCAGCGCGAGTGACTGTGCTCATTGGGTACTTACCTGCAGGGAAGCTTGACTGCTTTACTCCTGATGCATGCTCCCTGGCTGGATATAGACTCTTCCATCATTGCATGGGTCTACTCCTCCATCCTCTCATCACTGCTAGAAATGATGGTATGGATATGGTCTGTGCAGACTTGTGGATCCAGCGTGTCTATCCGATTCTGGCTGTGTACATTGCGGATTTTCCAGAGCAGTGTTTGGTTGCTTGTTGTAAGGAAAACCGTTGTCTGAAGTGCCTCATGGCAGCAAATGAGTGAGGGGAGGTACTGGACTCAGTGATGCATGATCCTGAGTCCATGAAAGATATCTTGCAAAGGCACAAGAACAGTCAGCACCCACCGGAATTTGAGGAGAAAGGGCTATGTGCTGTTTATAAACCATTCTGGGCTGATATGCCTCACACTGACATTTTCCTGGCTTTCACACCCGATCTTTTGCACCAAATTCATAAAGGTGTGTTCAAGGATCACCTCGTTAAGTGGTGTCTTGAAATTATTGGGGAGGAAGAGATGGACGCACAATTCAAGGCAATCCCAGATTATCCTGGACTTCGGCACTTCAAAAAAGGTATATCAACTGTGAAGCAATGGACAGGAAGTGAGCATAAAGAAATGCAGTGAGTTTTTATAGGCTTACTCGCTGGAGCAGTGCCTAGGTATGTGTGGGACATGTCTTGAAGATGGTGTTTGTTGCTGATTTATGCCTGACAGTCGGGTCTTGGCGGTGGCGTGTTCAATTCTCAATTTCTCGTATTACTCGCAGCTGCAAATTCACACAGCTGAGTTGCTGGAAGCCCTACAGACTGCCTTAGCAGGATTTTACACTAATCAAGCCATACTCAAGGAACTCGCGATATGTGAACATTTCAACATACCCAAATTACACCAACTCACCCATTACATCCAGTCAATCTCATTATTTGGTGCAACTGATGGCTTTAACACAGAACTTCCTGAGCGCTTGCATATAGACTTTGCAAAGGACACTTACCATGCTAGCAATAAACAAGATTATGAGGAACAGATGGTTTTGTGGCTTCAATTCCAGGAAGCTGTCTTCCTACGCAGTGCATACCTTGATTGGCTATCACGATGGCCTGCAGGTCACACAGTGGACTCACACTCAGATTTGGATTTGGATTTGGATTTGGATTTGAGGTCAGAAGAAGCAGAGGCTGCTATTGCTTGCGCAACACCCACAGATCAGTTTCAAGTGACCCATGTCCTTGCCAAGACCCCAGCACATCCACACCAATCTGTTCCAAATATTGTAGGTGCACATGGCACAACTGATTTTCTCCCTGCTCTCCAATCTTTCCTTTGCATGAATATCCCGCACAACACCCTCGTACCAGGCATTCAGGACCATTTTGACATTTTTTGTCAAGTGGTCATTGTGACGCCACCTGCTTTTCAAGTCAGCAATGCACCAATGTGCAGGTGCATTAGAGCAATGCCAGAGAGACTTGCATTGGGACGGAAGCCTGGTTGTCCAGCTCAATTTGATATGGCATTGATATTGGATGGTCCTCGCACTCCACACTTGCATACTCTGGATGGTAAGTTTGATTTGGTTTTGGTTTCACATCAATCTGATCATAGTCTGCTGCAGGTGTGCGAGTGACTCAAGTTCGCGCTATATTCTCACTCCCTTGTCAGTTTGGCAAATACTCAAGAGCCCTTGCTTACATAGAGTGGTTCACACCTTTCAGAGCACCAGACCCTTCATCTTGAATGCAACAAGTGTTGTGCTTGACCTGCCAATTTCGCCGCAATGCGGTGGTGATTCATGTCAATGATATTGTGCAGCCATGCCATCTGATACCAAAGATGGGACAGTCAGTGGACCTGAGGTTGATAATTGGGAATGCGTATGAAGCAGCTAATGATTTTTATTTTAATGATTTCATCAATGGTGAGATGTTTTGTGCATCTGTGACAGGTATTTAGAAGCCAGCATGTCATTGTATATTTAGTAGACCTGCAAATACTGGATGGGTGCGCCTGTAGTAATCTGTAGCACAGTGGTAACTCCTGTAGTATCCTGTAGCTACCTGTAGCACAGTCATAACTCCTGTAGCTGTATGTAGTGTGGCTAGTGCTGCCGTGGTCCGGTTTGGTTCAGTTCTTAGGCCTCTAAATGCAAACCCCAAACTGGACCAATGGTCTGGTTCAGGCAAGGAGGATGAACACTGGACCGAACACTTGTGAACGTGTTCACAAGTGTCCAGTTTGGGTTCAGAATGCACGAACATAACATAGTATTTTTCAAAAAAATGGCCAGAACTACATGACAAATTCGACACAAATGACTAACTACACGACATCAATGGCAGGGTATTCACAAGCAGCAGCAAACTTGGCTTGTGCCATTGCAGATATGTGGCCTTGACAATACCCATTCTTCAACAGCTGAAGGGCCTCAAACATTGTCGGCAACAAACAATTTCGGCGCGTGGTCCCAGTGATGCCACCACTTGAAAAAGCATGTTCAGAGGCAACGGCAGAGCCCTGAATAGCAAGATAATCCTTTGTGATGCGAGAGATGGTCGGATATTGCATAGAATGGTGCTGAAGGTGTTTAAGTCAACCTGCAAGGAATACCAATACAAAAAAACTCACACCCCACCATGCCACTATATTCTTGATATCCTCTAGTGGTGCAGCAAGGTAGTTGTCGAGCTCTTGGCAAGGCCTTCGGTTTGCAGTGTCACTCACAACATGAGATTTGATAGCATCGTGCATCCAGCTGTGGCCGTATGACCCTTGGTGAGCAAGCGAGGAAGGAGCCACAACAACTGGCTCTGCGTCAGGCAAGGAAGTGTGATGGTAGTACTTGTCGAAAACTTTCTGCAAATGTTTCATACCCTCATCAAAGCCACAACACTCCCATTTACCCTTCACATACACCACCTTATAGTTGAGGTTGAGTGCTACACAGTAAGATAGTACATTAGATAGGCCATTATAGTAAAAACAACATGTACCAAGTCAAATGAAGTAGACATCAGTTTTGTCAATCTTGTGGTACCACTTGCAAATATTGTTGAGGTCAGACTTAATGGCAGTTGAAAAGTTGTCAAACTTCAAAGAATCGGCCATGTTTTGCCAAGTTTGTCAGAGATACTCGAGGACTGGAATCGCATGCCACACAGTAGGTTCACGAGTTGCAGAAAATGTTTGTTGAGCATTTGCGGGCTCCTAGTTATACAGTATGTTAATACGATGAATTGATGAAGACGCTCAAACACACCTGAAGCACATCATGCATCAACTGCAACTTCTTCCATTCTTTGGCTGAAAGCTTGAATGCGCAGTATGACTTGCCCTGTAAGTTTGGAACTTCGTTGCTGTCATCTGCCAGCTGTATGAACCAATTCACACCCTGCTGGGAAATTATATTGTGTTAGTATGGTTCACAGGGAGAGTAATAGTAACCAACTGACCTTACACAACTTAAGTGTGTGCTCCAACATGCCAAACAGCGAGGCCCATCAGGTGCAAATCCATTTCAAAAGCTCAAGCTTTGGCTCATTGACCTCAGTGCAGCACTTTTGGAAGAAGGTATGGGCTTGGGGAGATTTCCATACCTGAATGAAGGGTTCATCAAACAGAGTTAGTCAGACAAGGATACAAACTTACCTGTGTAACAAGTGCAAGCACTTTGCCAACAGTATCAGCAACATCAAAATCAGTCACTTTGTCATTGTCATTGTCATCATCATCAGTCGCGTTCTTGAGGAGAACACTTGCTGGCGTAGGAGCAACCTCCTCAATGAAGTGTTTTGTGGCTAAGTGTAAGGCGTGCTCCATACAACTGAATAGACATAAGCATATATGGAACACAACATTAGATAGATCACTTACCACACACGGTGCTCGCCGGAAATCCATTTCTTGGTGGAAGGGTCAATAGCAAGTGCAATGGTCTGAATGGCCGTATCATTATTGGTGGCATTGTCAGCTGTCAACCATCCAACCTTCATCTGAATGCCATAGTTATCAATAGTTTCAATCAGAATTCTTCCAATATTGCTGTTGCTATGGTTGCCATTAATGATCGTGAATGCAAGCTGCTCAGACTTCAATTCCTACTCCTGAGGTTTGCCAGCCAGTGAGTCAATATAATGTGCTGTGACGGAGAGGAAAGGAATGCCAGGTTCAGATGTCCATGAGTCAAAGGTAAGCGAAATCTTGCTATCGACATGCTTAAGCTTCTCCTTGACGCGTTGGACAGCAAGCTTCACCCGTTCAAGAATTTCATTGCGAGTTTTTGTACGATGAGGGATATCCCTGTCTGAAAGGGAGGGCCGGAGGTATTGAGGCAGATGACAAAATGGACCCTTGTCAACGAGTTGGAACGCCTAAGTAAAGTACATATGGCATGAGCGTCCTAACTTTGAAGTCACATTTGAATCACACACCTCATCCTCATAGACGATAAGCTCAACAATATAATCCATCAGGCCAGACTTGGTAAATTCAGGAAATTTAGGTGCAAGAGAGCCGTCCAACATTTGTTGTGCTCTGTCAGTTGATTTGGAGTTAAGAGGTATGGCGCAGTTGTGCATCTGGATGCCTCGTTGCTTGCAGCAGTCTCAGTAGAGCGGAAAGTGACACTTTGGATTGTGAGCATTATGGGTGTGGCGAGTTGAGATGTTGCCTTTAAAAAAACATTGGTTGGATGGTACATCATTGGCTCTGAAAATCATGTTAGTTATCAGTGTGATTTGTTTAACAACATTGAAACTTACTTGCATATCTCACACCACCAGCCATCTTCACGTTCTTGGGTGTGAGGGTTAATATGGCCTTTCTCCTTTGTGAATATTCCCTTTAAGTCTGCACTGCACTCATCTTTCTTGGTCTGCTTGCGATCCTCGCGATCCTGGTCTCCGAACACCTTGGTCCTTTGGTAAGCTTCCTCCAAGTCTTTGTTATCCTTGTCATCTTTGTCTTCCTTGTCATCTGAAAAATCCTCTAGTGCAGGGGGTTCATCGTCATCATCGTCATTGCGGTGACGGACCAGACGGGAGCCAGTTTGCACTTGCTTGGGTGCAGGCTGGTCTTGAGGAGGTGCCGGAGCTGTGTTGTGTCATGAATTTCAAACATGAATCATTTTTCATTCCTTGGCTTTCCTCCGGCTACTTCTAGTTACCGAACCGGTCACGTGACTTCACTTCCTGTCACATCTTCACCTCTTCACATATCACCCGTTGTATCTCCGATTGGTTCCCCAACTCCATGGGCTAGAACAATCTCGCTTCCAGAAGAAGTACTGGTTGGATCTTGGGTTTCTATTTAGTTACCGTCTTACTCATTGCTTATATATCATGATGTCATGCTCAGTCATCTGCAGTATCATATGACTCTTTTCTCATTGGCTGATTTCTTTCATACTCAGATATCTCCTCTTCAATGTTATGTATATAAGTAGGTTAGTTAGCATAAGTGCTCCTTAGACTTAGAGTTCACGGGAGACAAGAACTCCATTGATGTTGACACCTTCCTCACCCAACTCGAGATCTACTTCGCAGGTTACCCCAGAGCAACAGAACGACAGAAAAGTTCATGCCTCATTTCTTTCTGTCAGGGTTCAGCAGCGAAGTGGGTAGAGAGCATCACTTCACAGGCCCTCTCTGGTGCACTTGGATCCTATGACCAAATCAAGACAGACATGAAAGCCATGTGGGGACTCGTCAACAAAGAGGAGAAGGCAGCAAGAGAATTGGAAGCTCTCCGTCAAGGAAACTGCACAGTAGCGGAGTACATTTCCCTCTTCTGGCAGAAGATTGCCTACTGTCACTTCTCCGACTACAAGTTGATCTGCAAATTCCGCTTTGGAGCAGACCAACGGGTTAAGAACCAATTGGTGCATGTCCACCCCAACAGAAAGGATACACTGGAAGGGTTGATCAGGGAGTTGCTCATCATTGGACAAAACCTGGAGGAGCTTGATGACAAGAAAAAGATTGGCTGGACACCCTGTCGTCCATGGCAAGGTGCTGCTGCAACATCTGCACCAGTAGCACCCAAAACCGTGTCACAAGGAGGAAATGTGATGGATGTTGATGCATCCAGAACAGGAGGTAGACCCCAACCTCAAGGACGACCAGGAGGTGATTTCAAGTGTTATTGTTGCAGAGGAGATGGGCACATGGCTCGTAATTGCACAGGAAAACCCCTTGACAAGGGCAAAGGACCAGCTGTCTGCGCCGTCAAAGAAGAAGAACCAGCCGTGAAGCCACTCATGCTGGAGGATATTAATTGCATCATAAACGAGAGGATCTGCCTCTCCACTATGTACAACCCAGAGAAGAAGGGTTTTTAGATAGATCAAAGTTGACTGTGAACTTAGATCAGAAGAATCATTTCTCCATTCTTGGTGACTCAGCAATCATGTTTACAGAAGTATCAGAAGTTTGTTCTGGGAATAAACAAGAGCATTTTTACTTGCCAGTTATGTTGGAAGGAAAATAAAGGAAAGCAGCCATCAATGCTCTAGTAGACTGTGGGGCAACAAACCTCTTCATCAGCAAAAAGTTTGTAGAAAAGAACCAAGTCCAAACCATGCAGTTGTTGCGAGCACTGCCAGTCCGTAATATTGATGGAACTAAAAACTCCACCAGACCAATCAAAAGCTACGCCAATTTGAAACTCACGATAGGGGATCATGAGGAAGAAGTGGCCTTTCTGATCACAGATCTAGGAACCGATGACGTCATCATTGGAAT